GCAGTGCAAATAGGAGCGCGCACCTTTCCACGCAGCGGGAACGTGAACGGGCGACGGTTCTGCTCTTCTGAGAGTAGTACCGGAGGGTCAGCCTTTTATTATGACGGATCACCATTGGCGAACATTGCCCCTGGATTTCCAACGGCGCGGCAAACTTGTGCGACGCGCCACTTAACCAATCGATACGCAGCCAAAACGCTACTTGTTCTGCGGAACAGCACCCCTGTTTCGGAAACCAGGCCCACTTTGTTATGTTATTGCAAACCAGATATGCACGCTCTATATCATGAAGATGAGGTGGGCGTGACAGCGCACTTCACTTTGGGCGTGACAGCGGCCCCCCTTTGCGTCGGATTTAGTCATTATAGGACGATCGTACTCATGTCTTTGCACAAGATGGGATGACAATTGTCTCAATCAGAAATATCCCACGAACAGCCATCCCCTCCACAGCCATGGGATATGAAGTGTATTTGATAGCAGGGTCCACGCGGATTGCATGAGCAAAGAAATATAACCATCGTGCTATCGTTAATCAGCGCTTCCAGTCTTTTTCACTGCACAGGGGGGGCATATAAGAAGCTGAGCTGAGCACGGCGCCAGCGAGTCCTCCGCCAGTTGTGGTTGTCTGTCAGCTTCTAGGTTAAGTGGATAAAATGCTCGCGCTGCGCCAGATGCGTCAAACCTAGCTCTTGACACGCCCCAGCATACACGACAAATAACACTGTATCTCCTTTAATCTCCCTCAGGAGGACGAGCGCATCAGGGAGGAAAAAAAAGCAGTCGTTCGCCCTCCGAGTTCATATCTCCTCCCACATGGTTAGTGTGGAATTCGCTTTTGAGCGACCCTTCGACGTTTAGTGGGTGCTTTTGCTCAGTGTGATGGCCGACGCTAAATACCTCAGATTTTAGGAGATTCAACTGTTATGCGTGAGTTCGAAACGCTCAAGGAAGCACAGCACGAGAACGTGCAGCACCTCATTGCGGCATATCAAAAGTGAGCTTGTGAAGTTATTCAAAAAGATTAAAAAGGCTCGAAGAATTCATTCCGCGTTAACACAATGGGCGGGAACCGACAACCTTTGGACTTGCCTCTTAGTGTACCGCTTCATCTACTTTGATGAAGGGAGAGGCGTTCCATTCAAAAAAGCACAATGTTTGCTTAGCTACGCCTATTCGGTTTTCGCGGAATGTGCCTTCGAGGGATTTTTGATCTCATGAAGCCAGTCTATCTTCCACACTTACGCATCCAGTTTACACTTCAGCAACGGTTTTCTGTACTTATTCTGTGAACGATTATTTGAAGACGTATTTTCTCGTTTCATTCAAATCGATTACTATACCGAAGAACAGGTAAGTATCTTTGATATGCAGGAATTGAGGGTGTAATAGAGAACGAGAAAATACGTCTTCAAATAATCGTTCACAGAATAAGTACAGAAAACCGTTGCTGAA